TCTCTCTCTCTCTCTCTCTCTCTCTCTCTCTCTCTCTCTCTCTCTCTCTCTCTCTCTCTCTCTCTCTCTCTCTCTCTCTCTCCGTCTGTCTGTCTATCACTCCTCTCTTTCTCGGTGTCTCTCTGTCTGTTACCCTCTCCCTCCCCCGTTCCTTCCCTGTGGCGGGCATCCACCACGTTTTTTTCAGGCATGTTGATGGTCTTCCGCAAGAAGCAAGACTCTGCTGCAATTTGAACACTGTGAACAGGGTCTGCACGAAAAGCTCTGCAAGCAAAACCGACGGTAGTGTGCTGCTTCAAGATCAACGGTCGTTGCAACAGTTATGAAAAGCGAAAGGGTATCAGAGTAAAGGGGATTAGAAGGAAAAAGGAAGAAAGAAGAAGATCAAAAGTGCATGTTTAGAAGGAAGAAGATGTAAAGTGAGGACATAAGGAAGAAGAAGATGATTGTGAAGTTAAGTTCTCCGGAAAGCAGCAGCCAAGAGGCTTGTGCGCATGTGATTGTGAAGTTAAGTTCTCTGGAAAGCAGCAGCCAAGCGGCTTGTGCTGACGTGCACCTCAACATTTTTTCCGTTGTGTGCATCGACTTCAGTGGGGTCGGAGAGTCATTGCCCTGGCATGACGATATTAACAAGCAGGGTCTTTTGTTTCTCTTTTCTTTGTGTTGTATGAAAAGGGTGATGGACTTGAGATATGCTCATGGAACTGACCGACCCCAGGTGATTCAGGATTATTTTGTTCATTTGATCCCATCAGGGTTCGAACTCTCGTCTGTTTATCAACAGTTCATGGGTGTACCATTCACCCACATGGTCTGGGTAGGGTAACAGTTAAAAAACACCAGCACCGTCAGCACGTTAAAATCCAAATTCATATCAGTTTCCAATAGGCACTTCCAAGAGGTCGTGTTATGGTAGCCTAAAACTGTTCCGTTCCGACACTGAGTGAGGTCTCGAACAAGAACACGATCTAGATTCAAATCTAATACTTGATTGGTCGGACCGGACCGTGTTCGTATCTCAGTTAAGGAACATGTGACAGCCTGATTATTATAAAACAGATTAGCAGTGGTTAAAGGATTATAGGTGAGCAATAGAATTGTCATCAAAACGTCCTTCGGGACATCCGTTAAAATTGGATCGATACAGAGAAGATAGCATGGCCCCTGCGCAAGGATGACACGCATAAATCGAGAAATGGTCCAAATTTTTTAC